TTCACCAGCTGACCCTGTCTCAGCTATCAGAGTGGCAATTAGAGAAAATACAGAGGGCAGTAGATGGAACTAAAGGTCTGTATCTTCCCCATGTGGACTACATCTTTATGTGGTTAGTCCTCTCTTTCTTCTAAAATAATTCAAGGGGCTACCAGATGGGGCAGTCGGTAGAACATGCAACTCAATCTTGGGGTTGTGAGTTTGAGTCTCACACTGAGTGTAAAGATTACTTAAAAATTTTAAAAAATGATAAAAAAACTCAAAATTTCTTTTGGTTGCATTAGCATTCCTATATCAGCATCCTGGATAATGTCCATAAAATGCTTTGGTCAACATTGTGTAGTTTAAGAGCTAGGGTTTTGGTGTCACACAGCCTGACTTTGAATCCTATGTCCTCCATGTTCCAAAAGCATAAATGAGCTGAGCTCTTTAATTCAATTTGCTCATCTTTCAACCAGGGATACCAATAGTCCTTACTACTAAAGGATCTGTTAAAAACTGAGTTGATAAACATAAAAACACATAGAACATAGAATGGCTTAGAGATAGAGAAGGGAGATTATCAAATTCTCATCCAGACAGGAATACCTTGGTAATGGTATTCATAATTATCCCAGGTCAGATAAGAAGTAAGTCTGTCCTAGCCAAAAAGATTCATATATTCAACTAATAAAGGGTTATTACATGTGTTTTGTAATGTTAATATCTGCGTCAGCCTTTATTTCACATTTAGAAATTGAAACAACAAATTGAGGGCTCCTTTGCACCTGACACTGTTATGTTAGTGATACAGCACTCTTCAAAACATAGAAATTTTGCTTTGTCATGGGATAGTGATAAACTTCAATAATTGTTTATAATGAATAAATATTTATTCATGATTATAATAACTTTACAAAGAATTATTAGGAGGTTATCTTATTTTGTGTTTCCTTCTCTTCTTGTTTTCTAGATTTTCATTATTTACATTAAGTCATTTCCTCCACAGAATTCATATAATGTATTTAAAGTAATTTGCTTGTTATTAACTAAGGCAAGAAGGAATAAGATTATATACAATGATTAGGAACACAAAACAAAAACTGAACATGTGACAAAAATGAAATAAAATAAAATTAACACATTCATTTGTACTAACAATTTAAAGCTCCAAGTTTTAGTCATCAGAGTTTTAATCTGTTTTTAAGTATCATATGCCTAATGTACTACAGGAAATGAAATGTTAATTAAATGGGAAAATATGTGCCTTGTTTCACAAAATAAAGCTTTAAAAATTATTATAGTTAATTTGTTTACTTTTTAAATGTTTATTTATGTATTTTGAGAGGGACAGAGTGCACATGAGTAGGGTAGGGGCAGAGATAGAGGGAGAGGGCTCAATTTTACAAAATGTGAGATCATAACCTAAGTTGAAATCAAGAGTCAGAAGCTTAACAGACTGAGCCACCTGGGTGCCCCAATTTGTTTACTTTTAAGTCATGAAATGTACATTATTGATTCCAGCATACGGTTAAGAAAAATATTTTAATAAAAAGTTTAATTATTAGTATTGATAAGATATTGAACAATTCACATGGACTTGCATATAGAGTTTTAATATATTTTAATTGTAACTAACATAATAAATTTAGGTTGTGCTAACAGCATTTGAATTAGACTGATATAAATGTGTGGTGATCTTGTGTACTGAGGGGAACTTCATAGATAAATAGCAGACAGTAGAAAATCTAGTAGATGAACATTAACTGTAGTCCTGAAAAAGCCTGTTCTCAGCCATCTATATGATATATATATATATCTTGGTTGAGGGGTGGGGAGTTAGTAGCTCTATGAGGGGGAATGTGTGCAAACATGAGTGTGTGTGTGTGTGTGTGTGTGTGTGTGTGTGTGTTAAGTGAAGACTATAAGTAGAAGGGATGAAACTAAGCAGTAGTCCAGGATTTTACTCTTTTTATTCTGAAGCCTTATTGTCAGTGGTTAAGCAATGTGATCTAAGGAAGGAACAAGGTAAAGATTAGTGTGCAAAAGTCAATGGATTGTTTTTTTCCCAGGAAGGAATGAGTGTCTGGAATCCACCATGACAGCAATTTTCCAACAGCTCCCATCCATCAAGAATAGAACAAGAGCAGTGTTGATCATATTGAAAGTTCTGCTGCAAAACTTCATGGCCAGAAGTAGGCACTCCTGTCCTAACATTGTTCAGGTTACAACTTCTATTAAATAAAAACCAGTAACTTATTCTCGACCTTATGTTCATACCTCCATTTTCATCAAGAAATATAACAGCATTTCATTGTCTCTAATTTATTGAGAAAGTAAATTTAAGAATTTTCCCTAGGCTGTATTTCTGACTTCCTAGAAGAAATTGGAAAAGTCATTTACTTTTCTGTGCATTTCAACCACACTATTTGTCAAGAGGAGGAATATTCATCTTTCTCTCCCAGGTACTTGGCTTAATTTATATTAGTGTAGAACTTTTCATTTTATATCATATTTCATATAAAAATATCAACCTTTTATTTCATCTTCTTGTACTTCCTGTCAAATGCTTCCCTGTTTTATTTCATAGTAACATCCTTAGGATCAGTGCCACTGTGATCTGTGAAAAAATAGCTTTCAAGACTGTATATCAATAGACTACCTTTTTTGTTTGTTTGTTTATTTTGTTTTTCAGTCAGGAAATGTGAATGAAATGTATATATTTCAGACATTACATATATTATAGCATTTCAGATGTCTCTAAGACTTATTGGGAAAAGAGGTAAAACGTCACATATAGATTTAAAACTTTATTTTCAAATAACTAGGCTCAAATATTATTGTTTACCATTCCTGCGGATCTTAAAATTTTCTTTAACAAACTTCAAAGAGCAGTACCTTAGAATATATTCTTGTAAAGAATAATGCACTTTTTAAATTCTAAGTGGAATAAAGTTGACATATATATTTGCTATTTCACTTTAATGTTGGACAAACTATAAATGATTACAATTTGGAGCACCACTACTACTCAATAATTTGGACAATAAACTATAAGCAATATGTGCTTATAAGTCAGAGTAATCATACATTTACACAAACACACAATCTAAGACATCGTTTTACCTCAGGTTATAAAAGTATAAATATGTACATTTAAATTTCCTTTTTACCACAAAGATATTTTGTATGTTATTTGTGCCACAGGATAACACAGTAACAACTTTTTTCTAATAAACAAAATAACATAGAGTTAACTATTCACTCAAAAGGTAGACTGTAAATCCTAGTATTCATAGCTTTTGCTTATCTTCTTTAAAGTTAAGGCTTTCCATAAGTACTTACAATTCCAAATTGAGGGAGAAATGTATATATCAGGAGTTTAATATAGTATGCATTATTTTAGTGATAAAAGTATATCTTTTTCTGTTCATAGTTACATTTCAAAGTAATGCTTAGTAAAAAAAAAAAAATGACAGTATGATGAAACACACTCTTGTAAAAATACATGATCTACTCTTAGTTCTAAAACAAATGTCAAACCATAACTAACAAATTATACAAAAATAATCACTTTAGCTTCCAGCATCTGATATAGTGACATACCTAGTATCTGATAATAAGGAATACTAAATAAATCCAATATCTAAAAAACTTACACAATGAGTTAGTGAATATTTTTGACTGGGGCAATTGACTCACCCTTAGTAAGATTATAATGCTTCAGACTACATTCAGTATTTGCATCTTATGTATAATGATTCATAAACCAAGATCACATTTTTTTGTTTGTTTTAGGCCCAGAGGTCATATAGAAGGTACTCCCCATGAGGCTATAGATATGAGTTGAAGGCCAGGTGACAATGAAGTACAATCAAGTGCCATGGGAGTTTGGGCCACCTGTTTGTACAATTTGGTGGAGTCTTAGGACCTGATAGAGCCTGATTTGATACATACCACTTACACCTGATTATGGAGTCCTGTGGCACAACTTGATTTTATGATTTACTGGATCAGATAATACCCAGTTCACTAAGGAATGTTGAGGGGAAATGCCTATTTACGTGGCTCCCCATCATCAGGTATTTACACTCTATAAGGACACAATGTAAAACCATTTTTCTTTCAATTCTTAGATACCCGACTATGATTTTCCTATTGGCCTTACCAGAGATCCTATACTCTGCTGGTAACTGTACAAACTGAACACAAAAAGGATCGGAGAGGCCCAATAAGGCATGATTAGTGAAATGCCCTGTGCTGCAGACTGTACTATCACAAGGACTTAATGGATCTGATCCCCACTCAAAAGCAGTAGCCTATGGGCTTTCTAAGAATTGGTTCAAGCAACACACACACGTCATAAATGTTACCTCTATAAACTGAAGGGATTCAACAGCTATTGAGCTTCTTTCTGAGGTATTGGCTTCTTTTTTTTTTTTAATATTTTTTAAATTTATTTCTAGGGGAGAAAGAGAGAGACAGCGTGAGCAAGGGAGGGTCAGAGAGAGAGGGAGATACAGACTCCGAAATAGGCTCCAGGCTTTTTGAGTTGGCAGTCAGCACAGAGCCCGCCGTGGGGCTCGAACCCACGAACCGAGAGATCATGACCTAAGCGAAAGTCGGACGCTTAACCGACTAAGCCACCCAGGTGCCCCCTGAGGTATTGGCTTCTTAAATTTTCTCTGGGATTTTCCTCCCCACCTTCTGGCAGACTAATTGTCTTAAGTTACATAGACCTTTGCTATTTTTTGCTTACAAGTGCCAACCAGCATGATGTCACCAACTGAATGCAGCAGCATGTGGTGTGTAATATCAAAAGGTAAAGAAAACAGTGAGATGAGTTATGACAGGGAGCTATAGAACTATGATAGCCCTGAGCATAAACAGTGAAGTTGTACTGATGTCTTATAATGGAAGAATACAAAGCTTCTGCTGGGATATTCTATTTGATAAGGGGAAAAAAGGCATTTGTATAACAGGAGACAAAGGTTTAGTTGATCGAGTCCACTAAAGATAAACTAACCATCACAGCAAGTGGAGCTGAAAGTTGACACCTGATAAAAATAACAATAAAATACACTCATTTATCAATATCTGTTTTCCTTTAAAAGTCAAGTAGAAAAATACAGAGAACCTGAAAGGAAGGACTTTTTTACATTTTCATGTCTTTGAGTGTAGTAATGATATTTGTAATCAATTATGTTATATTGCTTTTGGTTTATGATTTTGTTAGGACAGAAAAGTTCCAAGATCTTCCACTTTTCCCTTTTTGCTTGTATTAAACCTCTGTCTCTGGTTCAGGGGACTCACATAAAAACAGTTTGCCAACTGTGTACTGAAGAACAGAGAAATAGCATAATGTATATTTGTGGGCACATTGAGGCAGATTCGGGTAAACCTCTTCACTTGTAATTGATCACTTGGGCTATTTATTAAATCATTTCCTCTCTGCTCCAAATTGGCCTGTCAATACCTGCTCTGAAATATGGACAGAATTTCTGTAGGGATCACTCCTTCCTTTATACGGAGCACAGTGTTAAGCCCTCTTAGGAAAGGGCACTGGAGGGATATTCCAGGTGGAGGGCATTGTTTAAAACTTTTGATTATTATAAATCCATTCAAACGTTTCCCTCTCCAAGTATTAATCCTTCTATGCTATAAAGAAGGAATTCTAAAGCTATCTTTATGCAAGCTATTTTTCCATCTAGGCTCATGCCATTCAATCAGTCTATTAGAAACACTTCTGTGGCAGGAACAAACTCAGTGAATTTACACACTGAGAAGACAAATTTTGTCAAACTGTATACCTTCTTCCATGAGATAATGTCTTAGAATTTTTTTCTCACATCATTACTTAGGTTCTGGCAATATAAATAGTAAAAACCTTACAGTTCCTTTTAGAGATATGCTATCTCCTTCCAAGAAAGGTTTTGTCTTCTAATTGGATGCTTTAGTTATTTTACCCTAGTTATCTAGATCTAGGTTGGTATAGGTGCAAGGAGAGGTAGTGGGGTGGGTCTTAGCAAAAGTTGGAATCTGTGTGTAGGTCAAATGTCCCTTTTTGAAATTTTATAGTTTCTACGGGTAAAGGGAATTTGGTCTCCTCTGAAGAAGATGGTATTGGCTGGGAAGGTAGGCACATGGGTTAAGGAGATTTAATATAGGAATAGGGATGTTTCCTCTTTCCTAACTCCTTGCCTTTCATAAGAACGTCATTGCAGCCAACTGAAAGTTACAGATATTTCACTACCACCTTCTTTTTCTATCCAAGTCCTAGATGTAGTAAGACTCTTACTAAGTTGAAATCAAGTTACATATGGAATTTTAAATTTCCATTTATGATCCTCTGCTTTGTGAAAACATTTCAAATACCTAAGTTCTATCAGGAAAGACTCAAATAGGAATACATAGGTTTATACTATGTATTTCAAATAAGAAATATTCAATACGGAATTGATATGATTCAAACTACTGGGAAGAATAGTCAGAGAGGCTATTTCTAACTTCAGCTTTTGGACACTTGTAGGAATCACAAGGAGACAATGACTAATGATGACAGTTGCTTTCAACACCAAAGTAGATAACTATTAGAAAGATGCCTAAAAGCCAACAATTGCTTTATTGCCTGTCCACAGAAGCCAAAAGAAAAATAGTTTCTCATTCAATGTTACTTTCAAAATTTTATACGAGCACTTTTTATTAGCAACATTTAACCTGAAGCTTGATTTTTTTTAAAGGAGTCTAAGAAATAAAGATTCAAGGATTTCAGTCTTTGTAGTAGGAGGGAAAGAATATATGGACAGAAGGATAATATCTGGTGCAGACAAGCATTGCTTGCTGTTTTCAGCAGATGATGTTTTAGTCTGTTTGGGCTGTTACAATAAAATGCCATGGAATGGATGGCTTATAAGCAACAGAAATTTACACCCCACATTTCTGGAGGCTGAAAAGTTTGAAGTTAAGGCACTGGAAGATTTGGTATGTAGTGAGAAACAAGTTCCTAGTTCATTAACATCCATCTTCTCACTGTATCCTCCCATGGTGAAAGGAATGAAGGACTTCTCTGGGGTTTCTTTTAGAAGGACACTAATCCCATTTGTGACAGCTCCACCATCATGATCTGATCATCTCCAATAGCTCCCAACTGAAAATACTATCATGCTGTGAATTAGGTTTCCACATGGGAAGAGAAAAGGAGATTGAGGTTAAGAATCTGGCAACATTTAAAGGTTGGGGAAAGAGGAGAATCCAGCAAATGAAGCTAAACAGAAATACTCAGTGAGGGGTAGGTATACAATCTAAAATTCAAGTGAAAAGAAAAAAAATAAAGGTGAGTCACTGAAGACAGAGAACAACTGCATCAAACACTGCTAATAGGGCATGTCAGATAAGGACTGAAAATTTGACTATTTAACTTAGCAATAGAAGGATGGATATTCAATTTGACACAACAATCAGCTGGATGTATACTCATGAATCACAGAATATAATTTCATGGAGTCACATCACTGTTATCAGTGGGACTAATGAAGTATGAACCATGTGTGAGAAAACAAAGAAAACAAACCTGGGATCTTTTTGATGGTCCTAATAGCTTGAAACCTGGAAATTACCAGCTAATATTCACTTCCTCTAAAAGGGTGGTTACCTAACCAGCATGGAGCAATATATATATTGATGGAACAGCCAAAACTAAGGAGAGTCTTTCTAAAATACCTCTTGCTGATAAACGGCAGAAGGTAGGAGAAATACAAGCACTTACTGCAATGGACTCGTTCTCAGTGATCTTAGAAATATCAGAGGAAGATCTCTTTAAGAAAAACAAAACTAAAGACATTATTTAGGGTGGATTCAAACCTGAACGAAGAGTCCCAGGTGAAGTCAAGAGACGTTTGGATACCACTAAGAGGTGTGAGTGGAGACCCAGGGACAAAGCTCAGAAGAACTGGGTGGGTCATAAAGGGGACAAAGGTTGATAAATAGTTGGTAGGATATAACATATGAACATATAAATATAATTTAGTTTATAATATTATTAAGATACCAAATGTTTTAGGATCCTGAATCTTAATATGGAGATTTAACTATTTATATTCTGCATGTCTAGTATTATATTGTTACATATTATGAAAAATATATTGAGTATTTGGCTCTGTACCAATTTAATTATTAATAAGTATAATTTTACTTCTTCCTAAAGCCACTGACATTCAACCAAAAATCCATTGTCAACTATGTGTGATGAAATCACAGACTATTCCCACAGTGACCATGTTCTTGAGATTCTAAACATAAGGATAGAAAAATGTCTTCTCACATCATCAGAAGATAATGGATGGACCGAAATATAAAATTTTATAACTTTCATTCCTTAACTCAATTCCTTTGTAATAAAGATACAATCTTTTATAATACAGAAAGTTTGGAAGAGGCTGCTTCTATTTCCAGCTCTGTAATATATGAATTGCAAATAAATGGGATAATTTAAACAGTGACTACCATTGATTACTATCAAGAGAGCATTTTGCAATTCATAAATCCTAGTGAAACCTATTTTGCAACTTGTCATCTTTTGTAAATCACCATTTTCTTTGTAAAAAATAGATGTTGGAAATACAAAACAGCAAAGCATATTTTAACCTCTCTAAATGTGGGATAAATTGTGCTTTTCTATTTGAAGTAGATAAAAAGAATATTTATCAAATATAACTTAGTTGTAGCTACAGGACATTCAAGCATACTTCCTAAATAAGACTGCCATTGATTTGGACAGATTAAATGAAAATAAATCATGACTAAATATAATTATCTAGTTTTGGCATGATTAAATACTTTTGAGTTGTGATTTATTTAGCTTACATAACTAGGTATTTTTCTTTGTAAACAGATTTTGGTGATCTCAATCTAACTGGAACAATTTACTATCCTCTCTCTCTTTGCCAAGAGAAAATGAAGGAAAACTAACTTGATCGCTTACTACAGGGGAAACCCTCCTCTGGAAAATAATATACATAACACAAAAATGTTAGTAGGCTCCAAGTTTAAGTATTAAAGAAAGTATTAAAGAAACCAATGAGTACTTTACACAATAATACAATTCATGGTTGGTAAAGAAAATAGAGTTATCTAGCTGCTTCTTGACACTACACTGAACCTCAAAATAAATGTCTGTGCTTAAAAGATAAATGAGTGTTTGAAAAATAAAATGTAATATTAAAGAAACTACCATGCTTCCATTTGGCATCTTTTTGTGAACACATAAAGACAGATAAAGACAATCTGACACTATTCAGTCTTGACCATGGTTTCTGGGGTAGACTTAGATAATTAATACTGATGCTAGTACTGAATCTCAGGATTATTATAGAAAATAACACAATCAGGCAGACAAATATGAAACAAAAATAGAGATAAGATTCAGAAATCAGGATATTGCCTAGTGACCAAGGATGAAGAAATTGAAGATAATTTCTTAAAAAGAAGGAAGAAGAGCTATTTAGAAAATAAAATAAAGTGAGGAGTATCTACAAGGAGACATTATAATGACTTTAAAAGTTATTACCTTTGAGGACCCTGGGTAATTTTTACTTTAGTAATAGCCTTCAAAATTCAAATTCTATATTATATGCCCCTGAGACACTGTCTCAAAGACTCAAAAGTAAAAATATGGACATGGAAAGCCAGCCAACCTCACTCCATTTTCAAGCTACTCTATAATTTGAGAAGAGGACATCAGAACACTGAATGACAGCCACAATGGACCTGGGATTCAGGGTGAAAGACAGCATAATAAATGAAGAGATATTTAACAGTGTAACATTCTGATTTTCTCTTTATAAGAAAAAGAGAGAAGAGAGTGAGAGAGAGAGCAAGGCTGATCTCTGTGTAGTAGAGACAGAGTCTGACATATGGGTTGCATATTCCATCATAAAGGTACATAAAAAGAATAATTAGAGGCAATATTGAAGCCCCACATGGCACACCCTTTTAGCCATGAGAAATTATGCCCCTCCCACATGCAGAATGTGTTCACCCTCGGGACTCCCTGCCCACT